TGAGTGAGTGTGTGTTGTGTCACTTGTGGGCTTGTTTGTGTGTGAGGTTAATATGGGGCTGCACAATTAACTGAAATTAAACCGAATTCGTAATTTGGTTTGTGCAATTATGAAATTGCAAAGTTTTAATCAAATAAGTATATTCACAGCATGTCCTGTTTGATGGTGAAGCTAAGCAATGAGATCAGAGTTCAAACAGTTTGTAGTAAATGCTGCTCCATATCTGCAAGCGCAGTGAGTTTGAGTCACTTATGAAACATGCATTTGAAAAAGCTTGTAAAGAGAAGCAAACCCGTTGTCCAACAAAAGAGAATATTTAATGAGGATTTTACTCCAGACTCACTTCTTAACGTCAGCCGGAGATTTGAAATTACCCCCTTTTGTGATCTGACGTGGCTTCATATAGACCCCTTTTGCGCCGACGTCACAGTTACGTCACGGCGCTACCTGGAGGCAAAACAAAGTGAAAACTGGAGGCGGCCAATGCAAAACAGCACAGATTCAGCTCCATAATAAGGAGCTTAAATAATTGTTACTATTATTAAATGTCATCTTGTTGTGTTGTTTGGTGCAAGAATTGATGAAAAATGAATATGCTGTATCTGGAACTTTTATTTCTAGAAAATACTCACATCATTAAAATCGCACTGTAATGTCACTATTTACATTGTCGTGGTCTCGGCGCTGACTCGGCAGAACTGCGGATCGTACACACAAGTCTTGTACAGGACCATATAGGCATCTAAAGATTTATATGCCCTCAGTTTCTCTTTACGATCGGTTTCTCTATAGGTGTAGAAATCAGGCACTCACCCGAGGTAACGTACGTTAATCCTGTCAGATCGTCCATGCGTGAGCGTGTAGGCGGCTACAGGTCGGCCAATCTGGTTTCGTCCGTTAAAAATAACTTTTGGAAATAACAATCGCGGTCCTGGACACTGACCTTACACATTAAGATAATATCGGATTTTCTCCAGTCATTGTTAAAAAACAAGCTAACAATCCTTGCTAACTAGAATTAGTGAAGCGGCCAGATCGATCTTTCTGCCTCACCCTAAGCTCCGCCCACGAAAAAACGTCACCATGTTTACCAACTGTAAAAGGGTCTATACACTCACCTAAAGGATCATTAGGAACACCTGTTCAATTTCTCATTAGTGCAATTATCTAATCAACCAATCACATGGCAGTTGATTCAATGCATTTAGGGGTGTGATCCTGGTCAAGACAATCTCCTGAACTCCAAACTGAAAGTCAGGAGGCTTTTACACTGGGTTGGTTTGCTGCGGTCTAAGTCCGAGCGCGTTTGTTCCCGGCGCCCCCCGCAGCGTTGGTCTGGTTTCACATTCAACTTGATTCTATCGAACCCTGTTGCGTTTACGTGCATCTTACGTCATCACAAATGTGCGCGGCGCATGATAGAAAGCAGAACGTGGGTAAATATTGTGTTAATTTGCTGCTATTATGAGCAGTTGAGTGAACAATACAGGTTTACTGTTCGTGTGTCACATAAGGTGGACTTCTGCTGCTTGCAAACATACTCTTTTGAGGAGACAGTGGATTTCCAAATGTGTTGCTTTGATTCCACGCACAATGCATGAATACACTGCAGGCTCCTCTCCAAGGTAAATCATCAACACTATCATCCCTTACAAGTGTTTTATTTAACTGAATAGATCACAATAAGCTAAAACGCATGTGCAGGATATTTTAATTCCTAAACAAATGCGTGCCCGAATCCATGTTGCTTTCACATTTACGTGAACCGCGGCACGGTTCGGAAGCAACCGAATTCAGACCACCTCCTCCAGCTAGTCTTGGGTTCGGTACCCCAGTGCGCCCCCGGATCCCATGACAGCGTTCACATTAGCGATTTTTCATGCGAACCATGCCCTGTTCCGAACTAAACTGCCAGTGTAAAAGCACCCTTAGAATGGAAAAGATAGGTGATATAAGCAATTTTGAGCGTGGTATGGTTGTTGGTGCCACACGGGCCAGTCTGAATATTTCACAATCTGCTCAGTTACTGGGATTTTCACGCACAACCATTTCTAGGGTTTACAAAGAATGGTTTGAAAGGGGAAAAACATCCAGTATGCAGCAGTTCTGTGGGTGTAAATGTCTTGTTGATGTTAGAGGTCAGAGGAGAATGGGCCAACCAATTCAAGCTGATAGAAGAGCAACTTTGACTGAAATAACCACTCGTTACAACCGAGGTATGCAGCAAAGCATTTGTGAAGTCACAACATGCGCAACCTTGAGGCGGATGGGCTACAACATCACAAGTCCCCACGGGTTACCGCTCATCTCCACTAGAGATAGGAAGAAGAGGCTACAATTTGCAAGAGCGCACCAAAATTGGACAGTTAAAGACTGGAAAAATGTTGCCTGGTCTGATGAGTCACGATTTCTGTTGAGACATTCAGATGGTAGAGTCAGAATTTGACGTAAACAGAATGAGAACATGTTACCACTGTGCATGGTGTTGGTGGTGTAATGGTGTAGGGGATGGTTTGTTCAGACCATGTCCATCCCTTTATGGCCACCATGTACCCATCCTCTGATGGCTACTTCCAGCAGGATAATGCACCATGTCACAAAGCTCGAATCATTTTCAAATTGGTTTCTTGAACATGACAATAAGTTCACTGTACTAAAATAGTCCCCAAAGTCACCAGATCTCAACCCAATAGAGCATCTTTGGGATGTGGTGGAACGGGAGCATCGTGCCCTGGATGTGCATCCCACAAATCTCCATCAACTGCAAGATGCTATCCTATCAATATTGGCCAACATTTCTAAAGAATGCTTTCAGCACCTTGTTGAATCAATGCCATGTAGAATTAAGGCAGTTCTGAAAGCGAAGCGGGTCAAACACAGTATTAATATTGTCCTTTAGGTGAGTGTAGAATGAGGCAGATATTATATTATTTTATAGTGTTCTATAGAGCTATGTAAATGAAAATGTAAATGCCTCACTTCTAGACTTTCTGTGCAAGGACGCCCTAAAGTTATGAGAATGAACGAAACAGACATTACAGTACATGTGTGTACTCACTAATGCTCACAACTTCCTATTTGTGATAAAAATATGAAAAATAATTCTTCTCTCTAAAGAAATTTGAAGTAAACATAAGTGAATCCATAAGTTTTCCTCCAGTGTGGAGTTTTTTTTTCTCTCAAAAGATTTCCTGACAAAAAATACGATATTATTGTCATAGATTTCTATCATAATAATTTAATATTTTATAGCTACGTTTCTACCGCAGGAACTTTCTCCCAAGAACTAGGAATTTTGAGGTGGTACTCAGGGTGTTTACACCGCAGGAACCAGAGTCTAAATGAAGTTTCGGGTCTTTGAGCTCTTTATTGTGACTTGGGTTTCACAGGTCTCGTACCCAAACACTCCACATCACAGGTGCAGTGATGTACCAGGTAAACTACCGAAAAAGTGTACTACATCAGAAAAGCCAGACAAATGGAGCTGGTGCATTAAACATTAAAATGTGTTCTTTTACAAATCATGTAATGACAGGTTCGTCTTTGTGAGGTTGAGACTAAAAAACTATTGTTAAAATAGAATGTGTAAGTTTCCATTAACCTTATACAGCTTGTCATAAAATCATTCACTTGCTCTGCAATCTGATTATACACACTTTCCTCTATTTTTTTTGGAGTCAAACACCATTTTATATGTGTGTCTTTCTCACAGAACCCCAAGACTTTCCCCCTGGGAGAGGGAAATGATGTATTTTTAGCAGTTGCACTTCTGTGTTGCTTGTCATCTCTTCGTCCCTCCTTTTTTCCCATATTTCCTGATTCAAGTCCATGGGAAAGATATATCCTCCACCCAGTTTCTCACTTTCGCTCTGTTGCCATTGGCTTTCTGCCGCTGCTCGTCAACAATTCTCTGCCCTAGGCAAGACGTCTCCATAGTAACTGCCTTCGCTGAGGCAACTCGTCGGGACGTTCAGTGGAGCCAGGTTATTTCAGCACGATACAGCGGTTTACATACAGCCAAAACATATCTTTTAACACTGGGATAGAGAAGAGGAGGGAAATATGACAGGCAAGAGAAAGGAAAAAGAAAAGAAGGAGAAAAAGAGCGAGAGAAAGAAAGGAAGTCAATCGATGAGAAAAAGCAAACATACAGTACCATTATAAATAAGGGAGGGGTGGAGAGGTTTTGTCTGGGATGTAAAGGGCAAGAAAAGAAAATCGTTTCTGTGCATGCGTTTGTTTTTATAAGTCATTTTCCTAAGGAAGTGTGTGAAGCAAGCAGCATCTCTAAAAATTCTATTGCTCAGAGTCAGAGGTGCTTTACCGAAACACAACTGAGAAGTTATTTATCCTAAAATATCTTAATTGACAAGCTGTCAACAATAAAGCTATAAAATGAGCGTGGATAGTAGAAACATGATCTTATGAGTAAATGTGTCAATACCACATGCACAGCCTTACCTTTGTTTGCATAGGCACTAAACGTACAATATTTATTTAATGCCAGCTTCTAAAACTAATTTACGAATGAACAACTTTACAGAAGTACATATGTTTATGAATCTTCATTTAATCTGTGAAGAATACTTTATTCATGGAATGAATTGGATAATTCTACGAGATTTCGGGTGATGTGTGCTTTTAAGGTGAGATTTACGCAAGTAGATCGAGATGGTATTTTGTAAGTAAAATTATTGTCACTGTACATTTTTCTATCTGCTTCATTGTATTATATATTGTTGAAAAGTGGTTTTATATGGTTGTATGTTGTGTGACCTATGAGTGTGAAGAAGGGTGGTTTCAGACAGTAGCACAATGATGGGCTGCTATAAATAGAATTGGGTCCTGTCATCATTAAAGTTCATATTCCTCTCTGTCAGACTGTATTTAATGCCTGAATATGCAACTAGTCCACCACACATTAAACTAAATGGGTTTGAAAATCCAACAAGCACAACTTTTTCTAATGATGTCCATACCATGTGTTATCTTCCCATTAGCAATTCATGAGTTCCCTGAGGACATCTTCACCAAAGAACAGCGGAAGAGAGGTGCCATACTACTACACGTGCTATGTGTGAGTGAGATGTATCTATCTATCTATCTATCTATCTATCTATCTATCTATCTATCTATCTATCTATCTATCTATCTATCTATCTATCTATCTATCTATCTATCTATCTATCTATCTATCTATCTATCTATCTATCTATCTACTGTCTCTATCTTCTCTCTTCTTGTTGCAGGCCATCTATATGTTCTACGCACTGGCTCTTGTTTGCGATGACTATTTTGTCCCCTCCCTGGAGAAGATCTCAGAGGTGAGTCAAGCCACCTGTCCGACATTTCAGCTGGAAAAGGAATGACAACACGTTACTTTTGCCATTTCTCAGAAAACGAAGTGATGACAGCCTTGTTTCCCTGCTCCCATGGGTCAACACTGATGCTATGTGTCATGAACTCTGGGTTGAGTATTAATTAACACATCGAGATTGGAAGGTGTGTTTCCTTTTGGGAAATTCCCTTTATTCATGTTCCTTTAGGAAATTACCTTTGTTCACAATTTGTCAGGATTTAATAATTTATTTAAAGTAAAAAAGCAGAGATTCATGCCACTGGGAATCCTTGTGAAAAAGAAGTAAACTTAGCATACATTTAAAAAGAGTACAGAAACAATATACTTTAAAAGAATATATATATAAGTTTTGTCAACGTTATGTTCTGTTTCTGTTTTCATGGACTTTCAGTTTGTTTTCATGGTAACACTTTAGAATACGATTCTTTCGTTAATGAATAACTACACAAGAACTAATGAGTAACACAATATTAACAATCTAGTAACTATTATTGACTAACAAGAAACTCTGATTAACGAACCAGTAAGTAATAGCGCACAGACGAAAGTGGTAGTTCACTATTAAGTAATCAATAACTACTATTTTTTAATACTTCCCAGAGAACTACTGAAAACGTTTATTAACAATCTAGTAACTACTATTAACTAAGTAAGTAATAGCTCACAGAAAAGTGTTACTAGATACTTCTGTGGGAATTACTAATTATTTGGATTCGTATTGTAAAGTGAAGATCATTGGAACTAACTAGTAATTACTCAAGTGTTCCTAAAGACATTTTGTAAAAGTTACTAAAGTTCACCAAAAATCTCAAACATTTTCAAAAATCATGACTAGATCATGTAGTAACACTTGAGTCATTACTATAGTTCCAAGGACCTTCACTTTATAATACGAATCCAAATAATTAGTAATTCCCACAGAAGTATCTAGTAACACTTTCATCTGTGAGCTATTACTTTAATTCGTTAATAAGAGTTTCTTTTAGTTAATAGTAGTTACTAGATTATTAATAAACTTTTTCAGTAGTTCTCTAGGAAGTATTAAAAAAATAGTAGTTATTGATTAGTTAATAGTGAACTACCACTTTCGTCTGTGCGCTATTACTTACTAGTTCATTAATCAGAGTTTCTGGTTAGTTAATAATAGTTACTAGATTGTCAATATTGTGTTACTCATTAGTTCTTGTGTAGTTATTCATTAACGAAGGAACCGTTTTCTAAAGTGTTACCGTTTTCATTTGTCACGTGTCCTTCCTTGTGCAGTTTCCCGCCACTCATCTGTCTCCTTGGTTACCGTCATTATTAGTTCATATGTGTCAGCTGTGTTTAATTAACTATTCTCATTTATGTTCAGTACTTAAGTTGTTCCCTCTCCTGCACTCCTGGTCTATTCACAATTATGTTATTCGTGTTTGCTATCTGTCTGCCTGCTTAAGGGAATAGCATTATTAAAACTATTATTGTTTGGAACCGTCTGTTCACCTGCAAACACCCCGTGACATAGGGATGGGCAAATTATGCACTGAAGCTTTCCTCTTGATGCGTTTGAAGCATCAAGAGTTTCGAAAACAACACCATCTTGTGGCAGGTCAAATTTTTAGCAGCCATAAACCCGAGTGCTCTATTATGCGCAAATAAAATGCTAAATGTTCAGTTTTCTGATAATATAATTCACATAATAAAGTGTGACAATAAATTAAATGTAAAAATTATATTAATACTAATTATAAAAATACCAACCGAGTACGCTCCAGCATGTAAACTTCATGAAATGCAAACTTGATAGCCCACATGCTTTGAAGCTTCAGTGTCTCAAGTAACATCACTACCGTGGCAGATGACAGGACCAAAAAATGGACTTCACACCGCAATTCACTGCTGTGGCTCATGAAAGGCAGAACTTTTTAGTTTTCACCAAAATGTTTTTGCCATCTTGTACTCACCTGCCCTTACAACCATAGATATCTATATAAAGGCTAGATGTCTTAAGGCGGAGTTTCTATCGTCATCACTGGCGGCCATCTTGTCACAGGTAAGCTGATGTAAGATGAGTGGTCAACACGAACACAAATACTCTTATCTCGTTGAAATCTTGACAGATTTACAAACGGTTTGGTTTCTTACAAATGTTATTAACGAGGCTATAATTATCTGGATGATTATTTATTTATACACTTATTATTCATAAGTATGCTGTGTCATAACTACATCTCTGACGTTTATAACAAACCAAACCGTTTGAAAATTGATAGAAAATTGAGCAAGTTATGGTTATTTAAATGTACCATTAACACAATGTTACGAGTGAGCGAGCTGCCTGTGACAAGATGGCCACCAGGTGCAGACGTCGACCTCCATTGGCAAGCAGCGTGGATGAGATATCTAGCCTTTATATAGATATCTATGCTTACAACGACGAGACCCTGAAGTCACTTTTCTGGATCTGGGCAAATATTATCATCCCGTCATTAGGTGTTTTAAGAGTTTCACATTTCGATCCAGTGAACAGCCAGCCAGTGAACAATATATATTTGAATATATTTGTAATTACACAAAGTCAAAGGGACATTGTGAAAAAATTGCTGCCATCTAGCAGTGAAAATGTATATTGCATTCAGACTAATTGTGCTCTCCAACACATCTACGGTAGCTATTATGTACCAAAAAGCTATGACAGGATTAGCACATCATCGATTGTTCCGAGTCTTCGAGGAAACAGGTTTTTTATTTCAAACAAACAGCAACTTGACACAATGAATAAACGAATGTTACAGTATGAATTACTGAATGTGAAAAACATGATCTATTGTAATAAGTTGTTAAGCCTTCTTTATTTTGTTATTTTCTGAAGTAGCCTCTGTGCATTAGATATCATCATCAACTTTTAAAGAGTTAGTTCACCCAAAAATGAAAATTCTGTCAGTATTTACTCAACCTTATGTTGTTCCAAACCTCTATATGTTTATATAGAATGTTTTAATCAAACAGATGTCATTCCCCATTGACTACCATAGTAGGAAAAAATACATATGGTAGTCAATGGGGAATGAGATCTGCTTGATTAAAACATTCTTACAAATATCTTCCTTTGTGTTCAGCAGAACAAATAAACACATAGAGGTTTGGAACAACATGAGGGTGAGTAAATACTGACAGAATTTTCATTTTTGGGTGAACTAACCCTTTAACTACACTCTAAAAATGCTGGGTTGTTTTTACCCAACTTTGGGTCAAATATGGACAAACCCAAACGTTGGGTTCGAAATGTTATTAAAAAATGTTACCCAATGGCTAGGTTTGTCAATATTTGACCCAAAGTTGGGTTGAAACAACCCAGCAATTTTTAGAGTATATAAATGTTCATCTGCCTATATCATAATGTACAACCAAACAATGAAAAAAAGCTTGTAATTACTGTAAGACTGTAACATCGCCTTTGCTGTCAAGAAGAAAGCAGGACTCTCTTGAAATCTTTTTTTCCTGCATTAGCTCTATCCACCTGGAAAAAGCTATCCCGACATTAACTCCAGTCACATTTCCTTTTACGATCTATTTTTATTTTGTTTTTTTACTTTTCTGGCGACGAGTATTTGCAATGCAGGCTTTTAAACTTGACGGGCCGTGAAGCGCCTCTCACCGCTCTGCTCCTCCGCTTCTGCTGTGCTCAGTCACGTCACACTGGCTCTGAATGAAAACGCGTTGTGGAAACGCGTTGGCCTAGTACTTTATGTCCCTTTCTGCTATTATAGAATTTTCAAGATGGCGGAACTACATGGAAGTCTGTGTGGACTTACCCGTCCCATGTTACGTATATAAAGATAATAAATTCTTTGTTTACGAGGATAAGTAAGATAATTGGCAGAGGTATTTGTACACCATATTTATGAATAAAAATATTGATTTTAAATAATAAATTACATAAAAAGTTACACATAGTCCCTTTAATGATACAGTTGCAATTTAGTACCTTTAAAATACAATGTAATATTAAAATGAATATAATGTGCAGTTTCTACAGTAATATTTTTATTTAAATATATACTTTTTGTAATTAGTACATTACAAGTGCACATCCAGTACAATAGAGTACACTTCTTTTTAACAAGGGAAGGTTGGTTGATGTACATGGCATTTGGTGTGGCATCCATGAGTGCAGAAAAATATCTTGAAACATTGTTTAAGACATTATACAAGGAATCGTCAAAGAAACAGTTTTATTATTTTCATATTACTGCTAGTAATCATGATTAATCTACTGTATAATGCTTTTCACTAGAATCTGCAGCTGAGTGAAGATGTGGCTGGAGCTACTTTTATGGCTGCAGGAAGTTCTGCTCCCGAATTATTTACTTCCTTAATTGGTCAGTTTTATTTTTCACTACTACCTCCACTTGACTGGTTATGATTGGTTAATATGTGCACATACTACTTTTTATATATTACATTGCAAAAGTCCTGTTCTCAAAACTGTGATGACCGATTGATCATTTTAACATTTTTTTCCCCCTTTTTTAAAAGGTACATCAGTCATGCTTATATTGAAACTGTTCAATAATTTAAATACATTATAAACATTACTTTATAGTATGACTTTATTTTAAAATATATAAAAAAGCAGCACACAAATAAATAATAATTGACTTGAAGTTACCAGGGACTGTCCAGCTCCACTGAGGACAGAAATTTAAGTCCTTATTTACTGAAAATATTGTTCAAATGAATATATAGTTAATCTTTCAGTTTGTTACCTTCAAAGTTATTATATTCCTTCAGAAAAAAGTTGAAACATTCTTCAAAAGTGAATCCTTTTGTGTTCTTTGGATGAAATTTATACAGGTTTGGAACAACATCAAGGTGTAAAATGTGAAATTTCTATAATGATCAATGTAATTCCTCTGCCACATTTATTACCATTGTTCATGTGCTTGATGGCAGGTGTATTTATCACAGAGGGGGATGTCGGAGTAGGCACCATTGTAGGGTCAGCTGTCTTCAACATACTGGTCATCATTGGAGTGTGTGGCATTTTTGCCCGTCAGGTATACATTATGATCTACCAATCTGACCTCATCATTCATTCCTCTCAGTTTTTGAGAAAATCTTAGCATAAGCATAAAATTATGTGAAGAAAGTACAAATTAATTTTGCAAGAAAAATTCAGAATTGTGAAAAAATAAACTTGTAATTGCAAGAAAAAAAGTCAGAATTATGAGCTGACACTTGGAATAAGAACACTTGAAATGAAAATGTTACCACAGTTTCTCGTGTGTCCATTTGTGCCCTAGACGGTGGTCCTTACCTGGTGGCCTATGTTCAGAGACTCGTTGTACTACATCTTCTCAGTGTTGGCCTTGATTTTGGTGAGTATATGGGTACATCTGAGAGAGGACAAAAAATAGAAAAGAAATAGTATAAAGCAATTTATATTATTTTAATAAGGTCACCTGTTTTGTAAGCAGGTGTTCATGAGGGAACTGCAGGGGATTCATGAGTTGATGAAAAGCTAATGAATTCATTCAACTGAATGTAACGTAGAAATAACCGAATTGGGCTGCAATTCATTGAAATAAAACTAAAATAGCAATATACATGTATATATTATTAAATCAAGATTATCAAATCGAAGAAGTTCCCCTTTGAGTGGAACTCAATGCTGCGTAATGACTTTGGCGCTATGGGAACACTTCTGCATGAGCCGGTGTCTGAAGACAGTGCATAGATTCCGGTTCCGGTACACTTTTATTTCCCATCCTAACATATATACTGACTTTACATAACCTACGTTGTTAATTCTTTTTCTATAATAAATATATTTCTTTATTTCGTGTTGCCTCCCCTCTCTGGTTACATAGCCTAGAATTTGCAGGATGCAACAGATTGGAGACTCGTCAAGGATCTGAAACAACATTGGTAAATATGCATTTTTTCATTAATGCAATGCTCAATTGGGTTTGATTTTGAAAGCGCTGTATACAGATCCTGCGAAGATCCGATACAATTCATTGAGCGTGGTTTTGAATCATTGGGAAGACGCATGTGGATTAGTTTAAAAATTAATTGGGTTCAGAAATTGTGTTAGTTTCACTATGTGTGCGTGAGAGAAGGAGAAAATTGTGTTAACTTGTGCCTTGGCCGTGTTTGAAGTGAGCCAGGTGGAAGAATCGGCAGTGATTTGCTTGGCATTGTTTGGTAAGTGTGGGCCAGCATTGCGTTTACAACATTGAGTTTGTTGAAAAAGTTTTGGATAACGTAATTATCAGGCCTCCTCTCCATTTTCAAAAATAACATCGTTCACACACCCGCATAAATACGCCTTCGAACGCCATCATAACTATGCCAAACCTATTGGCGGCAGTGTAGGGGTTAAGGATAAAGCCATGCAAGCCAGTCAGAATCCTCAGAATCGACAAGAGAGAACCAAAAACGCTGTTTCTCCCAGTTTACACGACAACACATAACCGGCGTTTTCAGAAATCTCCACTTTGGCCAGAGTTTTTTAGAAATAATCGTTTTCTGTTATAAAAAACAGGGGTTTCGTGTAAACGAGAGGCCAATCCACAAGAGAAATATCTGCGTTTTCCCTTTGTGTAAATGGGGCCTCAGAGTATTGCGAGTGCCCATTATGGCTTGTTTGTTATTTTGTTTTGTTATTTTAGTTTATTGTTTTTGTGCTATCCTGGGCAAAGGGCACCGTCGTGTAGGCATTTTTTGGGGGGAGTTTAGGTGCCGCTGATATTGTGTAATAAAAATCTCTGTCCTTGGGATATGCATGAAGGGGATCAGTGTTTTTTACAGGGCAGCTCCATTTGTCTCGTCTTGATGCGCAGTGTTGTGTCCACACTTGCAATGAAAAACTCATAGCGGAAAGAAGCGGAAGCTGAGAATCAATTAGAAATGGAGAGAATAAAAAGCGAACGTAATGTGGCTTTAGAACGGCTGAGACTGGCTGCTGAAGGTAGGCTTTCATTGGATGGGGGGTGAGGGTATTGCTCCTGTTTGTGCGTCTCTTATAAAGTACTTCTATTGGCCTCCACTTTACCCTATTCCAACTATAGGGAAACCATTGAACATTTGTTTATTGATTGTGTTTACATGTTGACGGTGATGTGTCAGTCTACCCAATACCCTGCTGCCTATGCTTTGCATACAAACTCTACCAGATCGATGGTGAATGCCCTTTCCCAGTATATTTCCTTCTTTGGTATCCCTCACACTATACAGAGAGATAGAGGCTCCAACTTTATGTCATGCATGTTTAGAGAGGTGCTTGAGCAGTTGCATGTGAAACATCAGAGTAGTAGCGCTTATCAAGCCAAGAATCAAGGTGCTCTGGAGCGTTTTCATCAGACATTGAAGTCGCTTCTCAGGGGTTATTGTGTTGAGCTTAATAGAGACTGGGAGGAAGGGCTTCCATGGCTAATGTTGGTGGCACGAGAGGTAACACAGGAAAGCACGGGATTCTCACCCAATGATTTGGTTTTTGGCCAAAGTTGCTGAAGTGTCCTGAGTCTCCTGTTAACTTGTTGGACTATGTTAATGGTTTTAATCATAAGATGTTTTTAGCCCAATGAGATGGCGACTGACAACCTGACTAAAGCTCAACAGAAAATGAAGAGTTGGTATGACCGTTGGGCTGAGCCAAAAGTGTTCAGTCCTGGTGATCAGGTTCTGGCATTATTGCCGATAGCCAATTCTCCTTTCCTTGCAAAATACATAGGTCCCTATAGAGTTGTTTGGCAGGTGTCAGGGACCTGCCAGGCTCCTCCTCCTCTGCCTTTTCCCTGTATTATTGCGTCTCCTCTACAGGTGGGTTGAAGCACAGGTGTGGTGTGGTGCGCCTGTGATTGCCGATCCAGAGACTATTCATGTCACTTCTGCCAAATCAGTGTCTCCGGACAAGATGGCCACCGCCACGCTCTCTGTTCCTGTTCCCGAGCCGGTGTTTGTTCCTGTTTCCGAGTCTGTGTCGTCTGTTCCTGTTCCCAAGCCTATGTCGTCTGTTCCTGTACCTGAGCCTGTGTCCTCTGTTCCTGTTCCCAAGCCTATGTCGTCTGTTCCTGTGCCTGAGCCTGTGTCCTCTGTTCCTGTTCCCGAGCCTATGTCGTCTGTTCCTGTTCCTGAGCCCGTTTCAATTGTTCCAGTTCCCGAGCCCGTGTCGTCTGTTCCTGAGCTTGAGCCGGTGTCATCTGTTCCTGTGCCCGAGCCAGTGTCGTCTTTTCCTGTGCCCGAGCCGGTGTCATCTGTTCCTGTGCCTACTCTAGCCTATGACCCCTTAGCTTCCCCCAAAAAAATTGGGGTGGGTGTGGCAGTAGGGACAGGGGTTGGCAGTAGGGACTCACCGTGGCCGCCCAAGGGGTCTTTACCACCCTGGCCGCCAGCTGCCCGTCCTGCTCCGCCCACGTTCCATGGGCCAGGTCCGCCCACGTTCCATGGCCCATGCCTGCCATTGCAAGGACCTGGTCCCGTTCCCTACGCGGACCTGGCCCTCCATTCCTCCCCCGGGACCGCCTCCGCTCCCCCACCCTCCCAAACTGTCTTGATTCCTTATTTGTTGGGCGTCGGGCGCTGCCCATAGAGGGGGGGCTATGTTGTGATGTCTGTCTGTGTTCCCCCTGTCTTTGTGCATTTGGTTCAGTCCTGTTCCCTGTTTTTTAGCTTGTTTGCCCTTGTATTTAAGCCCTGTGTTTCAGTTCAGTCCTGGTGAGTTCTTGATGTTGTATCATTTGTGTTGGTTGTTCTGAGTCCTGTTTCCTGCTCTGTGTTTGTAAGTTTGAAGTTTAGTTAAATAAACGTGCAAAGTTCTATTGTACCCAAGATTGGGTTACGTTACATAGGTGCTGTTTTGGATATTTTGGATATGATAACAAGTTTCATTTCGAAACCAGACTGCTCTTATTCTGAGGTCAATTATTCCAGGATTATTCCTCACCACGTCCCAAGACGACGTAGTACATGAATCTGATTAAACTTGTGAGCGTTGACACTGTTTGCATGGATCGTCTCAGAACATTAGCATTTGAATAGTGTGCACTCTGTGTAGCCGTGCTCACGTTATCGGATAATGAGCTGACACAACTGACATCTCTCTTTCCATACAGATTACACAAACAGAGAATATTTGTTTTTGTTTTGAATTAGATCGTTTAAAAGTAGACACTTAAATGTTTATAAAGATATGTGTGCGTGTATGTATTAATGTTCCCATAGAGTTGAGTTCCACTCAAAAGGGAAAATTTCAGGTTATGTTTGTAACCTCATTCCCTGAGAAGGAATGAGACACTGTGTCGCTTCGCCAGAAAACATCTCCCTTCAGACAATTACAATCTGGTAATGTGAATTTCATGCGTCTATTTGTGGTCTTAGTGACATGCTGATGCTATGTCACGTGACTATATATGCTGTTGGGCAATTGGGGATTGGCGTTTTCCACACATGCTTCAGACATCGGCTCACTCAGAAGCTTTCCCATAGCATTAACGTCATGATACAGCGTCTTGTGCAGTGTCAAGACATTTCGATCATTTTACCAATATTTTGCCAAAATAAAAGCTTGACGGTTTGAGCATTTGAAAGTAAGGTATTTAAGACTTAAATATTTGTATAGCAAATTATAGTTTTAGTTGCTTCTTGTAAAGAGCGAACCCGACTGCGTGAATGCTCTTAAAAGGAACTGTTCCCAAAATATTTTTTTTCCAATCATAATGTTTCATATAAACAATTCATTCAATTATAAATTTGTTATATATAACTTAAATCAAAATAAATCACTTCTTAATTTTTTTTTTATATATTTTTCCGTATACTTGTGACCATTAACCGACGTCAGAGAACCGTGAACTTGCAAATGTGTTGTTAAATTATTGAAATATTAACTTAAGAGCTCAGTTAACTTTTTTTTTTTTTAAGTTTGTGAAAAAAAGTTTGTGAACCCCTTAAAAGTATAAAGACTCAATAATGACGGTCAGCGCGTCTCTAGATTTATTCTGTGGATTTTTAACTAAAATTATACATGAAGAATTCATTATCAAATCCCTTCATTTGTCCACCTTTCTCTAGGTTATCTATGATGAAAGAGTTGTATGGTAAGTCTTATAACTGTATGTTTCTTCTACAACCATGTCCACATGTTCAAGAAGAGTAGTCTCATAATTTAGAAGCATTAAAAAAGTGAATACATTTATACTATATGATATATTTTTATGTATTAGAGTTGTGTTTGCTAACGATCTTTGTATCCATTGTTATAGGTGGGAATCCATGCTTCTGATCTCCATGTATGGAGTCTATATCCTTATCATGAAGTGAGTATAAATAATGCTGTATTAATGCTATAATGCTTATTATGTTTTATTAGTATAGCATTCTTAGCAAACCATACTGTTTCAAAGCACTCTTACTGAAAATTGTGTCTGAAAACTCCAAGTCAGCAAGTCAAAGGCTAACGTGTAATGGAAAAACTCCTAAGATGGTTCGGTTTGAGAAAGGGAAACGTTGGGAGGAATTAAGATAGTGTAACATATAATCCTAGAATTAATACTGTAGTACTGTTTTTGTCTGGCTCTAAATCCCAAATGAAGTTATAAAATAATAGCCTGACTGAAACGTATTTTACACAGACCTCCCTCTTGCTTCAATCATATTCCTTCTCAAGCATCTCTTGTCTTAATTGCTATGGATTAAGAATTTCCAAGTTCAAGCTAATACATGACGCCTCTTTCCTCCATATGAGAGAGAACCCGTTTCATTTCTTGTTTAGAAAAGAGCCTAGATGAGAGACAGTATTGTACAGACAACACAGCCTCTAGAGAGATAAGGGTGTTCTAGATGACAGTCTTCATTAAAGACCTTTTAAGGCCATTAGTGGAAGCTTATGTTGTTGGAGACTGAGATAAACATCCCTGCTCTCTGTTTTATTGGAGGAGGGAAACTAAAGTTTTGATGCAGAGGTGTTGATAATACCAGATACTTATCTCACACAGATACCACAACCTATGTTGACAATATGAAGATGTTGTGTTATGGAGGCTGGTGTGCCTCAAGAGAAACAACGACTGAAAACCCTTTGATAATAAATAATATAACTATATTATACCATTTAAATGTGTAACTGAAAAATGTACAATAATGCATTTATGGATACGTTTTAAAGAACTATAGTTTGAATAGTTAACAATGAATTTTAAGAATTTTGTGCCACATATTTAAAAGTTTCACCTTGGGTAACATCACAGCTTCATGACAGTTACTTCGTAAGTAATAATGAAAAGTGCTTAAAATATCTGATGAAATTAAGTGAGATGAATAAGAACTAGTACTTTTCACAAAAACATCAACATATAATATGTTTTTGGCACTGAATACTTACAAGAAATGTGTCTAACAGCTTTAGAGATAAAGCATAATTAATAATTTCTAAATATATAAAGAACAATTACAGATAGTGCTGCTTAAGGAGACATCAGGTACTCAAAACTGTCTCACTAGAGGGTGCTAAAATCATACCAAGAGAATAAAGACATATCAGGAGTGAGGATATACTGTATACCAGTCAAAATTTTGGAATAAGAAAGTTTTTAAACGTTTTTTTTTTTTTTTTTTTTTTTTAAAGAAGTATGCTCACCAACGCTGCATTTATTTGATCAAAATACACTAAAAACTAATATTGTGAAATATTAGTACATTTCAAAATAACTGTTTTCTTTTAAAATGTAATTTATTCTTATAATACAAAGCTAAATATCCAGCATCATTACTGGGTAGGCTGAAGCGCAAGTGATTCCTTTTGATTATTCAGCATCATTACTCCTGTCTTTAGTGTCGCATGATTCTTCAGAAATCATTCTATTTGCTGTCATTATCAATGTTGGAAACGGTTTTACTGCTTTTTAAGATTCTTTGATTAATAGAATGTCCAAAAGAACAGCATATTTGAAATTGAAATCTTTTGTAACATTATAAATGTCTTTAAAATGTATTTTAAATTACAATAATATTAAACCATTAGTAATTTGTGATCAAATAAATGCAGCCTTAGTGAGCATAAGTCTCCTTTCAAAAACATGAAAGAATCCCACACTTTTGAAAAATAGTGTATATTTATATAATGAAATTTAAATGAATAAAATATGACACCATTTGTTTTCTAGTCTGTCAGAAACAGAAACTCAAACTGTTGTTGCTATGATACAGAATATCCGCAGCACAGTTTAATTGTAACTGATTTCGCAGATAATTTGTTTCATACTAAAAAATTATTTTCCATCCATTTTGTTCGGTTAGCTCTGTTGGTTGATGTCGTTGTACAGAAAGAATGTTGTGACAGTTGGAGTTGGTCAGTGTGGCTAAGTCCCGCCCCTCCTCCACTGTGATTGGACGACTGGGTAAAAAAGTGACAGTAATGAGCGCTGCGTTTTATCCAAAGTTGAACATTTTTCAACTCCCGTTGACCAAACGCTGGGCGCCTCGTTACGCTCATGGCGTTTAAAAAACGCGGCGCTCCCATTGAAAACATTTGAAAATATACGCCAGGCGCGTGGAAAATCGCTTTGGTGGACACGCGGCCTTAAAGTCGGCCTGAACGGAAGTTGCGATAACCTTTTCTTCCTTATTGTGACATATCAGAGTGAAACAGCTTCTCAAACAAGAACAAATGTTAAATGGGATTTGATTTTGTTTATGGGGAATAATTGGGTGGTTGTGGTTTGCTATGGTGCGATTTTATGGTGACTTTAAATCTCATTTGCAGGTTTAACCGTCAGATTGCCAGCTTTGTCCAAAGATCCTGTGGTAGTCCAGCTCAATGTTGTGTCAGGAGAGAAATGCCCACAGATAAAGAGGGTGATGAAGTGGGAGTCAGTTGCAACACCTCCATGGTGCTGTTGAAGAAAGGTACTCATGCATGCATGTTTTATTTTCTATAGGTATGCAAAATCTTCTTAATATGCATTTATATTTCTGTGTTGTTCTCAGCTCCAGCAGACTCAGGGCAGGAATCTCAAGTAGTGATGGTGGATGAGCTGCTGATCTTGAGACCACACCAGCTCTCATTCCCAGAGGCTGGGCTGCGTGTTATGATCACACCACATTTCTCACCACGTACCCGTCTGTCTATGGCAGGACGCATGCTCATCAGTGAGGTGAGCTTGATTTTTTTTAATTTTTTTTTTGTGTTACCTTATAATACTGGCGTGTGCGTGTGTGTGTGTACCCTATGGATCAATGACATGATGTGCATATTTTTTGTGTCCAAGTGCATTATTTCTGTTTAAAATAATTTGATAAATAAATTCATGACATATAAAGTATCACTTAAGTCTATAATACCTATTTTTTTAAAATTTATTTTTAGTTTAGTTAAATAATAGACACACTATTTAAAATGAAGAAACTATTTAAAATGGAGTCTTAATAATGAAAAATAAAAACCTTAAAGGGATACTCCACATTTTGGAAATAGGCTCATTTTACAACTCCCCCAGAGTTAAACTGTTGAGTTTTACCGTTTTTGAATCCATTCAGCCGATATTCGGTTCTGGCGGTACCACTTTTAACATAGCTTAGCGCAGTGTTTCCCAACCCTGTTCCTGGCGGCACACCAACACTCCGCGTATTCTTTGTCTCCCTTATCAAACACACCTGATTCAACTCATCAGCTCATAATCAGGTGGGTTAATGAGCTGATGAGTTGAATCAGGTGTGTTTGATTAGGGAGACAAAGAATACGCGCAGTGTTGGTGTGCCGCCAGGAACAGGGTTGGGAAACACTAGCTTAGCATACATCATTGAAGTGCACAAGACCATTAGCATTTTTTTAAATGACCAAAGTGTTTCGATATTTTTCCTTCTTAAAACTTGACTCTTTTGTGGTTACATCGTGCACTAAGACGGACGGAAAATGTAAAGTTGTGATTTTCTAGGCTGATATGGCTAGGAACTATACTCTCATTCCTGCGTAACAATCAAGAAACTTTACTGCCGTACCATGAGTGCAGCAGGCGTATTCTTATGACGCAGCGCCTGAAAATAGGCTACCTTCCGTCAACATAACTACACAAACTTAGTCCCGGTCACGTTGGAAGTTACCGAGCTGGGTACTATTTTCAGGCGCTGCATCATATCATTACGCCTGCTGCAAATGGTATGGCAGTAAAGTTTCTTGACTATTACGCAGGAATGAGAGTATAGTTCCTAGCCATATCAGCCTAGAAAATCACAACTTTATATTTTCAGTCAAGTTTTAAATTGAAAAAATATCTAAACTTTTTTTTTTTTGTCACCTAACCGATGTTAAAGGTAAAGCGTCAGTTGTATGACGGCCCGGGATCGTCATGTAACCGACGTTTAAGGGTACCCTAAAAAGGCAGATTTTGACGTATGGTCAAAAGACGTCCCAAGACGTCAGTTAAATGACTTCCTGGGATGAGATATCAGGTGGTACAACTACAACATACTATTTGGTTGTATTGGCTGACATAAAACAATAAAAAAAAAATGAGTTTAAACACTTTAAAAAACTGAAACTTGTTTAAACACATTGTTCATGATTCAAAAATATGCATTACATCACTTTTGAAAAGATAAAAAAGCTTTATTTGTCAATGTATATATTTCTTTGAATGGCAGTTCATTTACTTTTCCTATCAATCAAATTCAAATTCCAACTGATAAATGGAAAGGGGCGAATTCTCAAATTCAGAATATTGGCCAACCCTGCATGAAAATGTAAATTCCTCGCTTTTCCTTCTCTTTACCATCTCTCCCCTGCACATTTCAGAGACAGAGGCTGCTTAGGGAGAGCAGGACCCCAGTGAAGACATTTAGTTCTGAAGGGATAGTAAATGGAGGAAGTGCTGAACCACAGCAGACACTTGAGGACGCAGAAATGATGGATGGTAAGAAAGGAGTAAAGGTGGATGTAGAAAACAATCAGCCTGAAGAAGAGGATGAGGATGGGGACGAAAGGTTCAGACCTCTTCATATTCCTGGTTAGTTCATGAAAGCAGATTGAATGCAATTTTTTAGTATTACTATATGTATACTATTCAAATATGTTATTCTTTTGGTAAGCCGTGAATCATCTCTAGGAGACTTTTTAGTTACCATTATCTAATATCTATTTAACTGTATGTAATAAGTCAAGACACATTCAAAGCCAAAAGTTGATTCAATTCAGTTTAATTAATCAATTTTGCAAAGTCAGTGTCATTATTCATTATTCAGCTCAATTCAGTTCTCATCCGATAGTGTCAGTGTAGTTAAAGGATTAGTTCACTTTTGAAAAAACTTTTGCTGATAATTTACTCACCCCCATGTCATCCAAGATGTCCATGTCTTTCTTTCCTCAGTCTAAAAGAAATTAAGGTTTTTGATGAAAACATTCCAGGATTTTTCTCCATATAATGGACTTACATGGGAACCAGACGGTCCAAGGTCGAAAAGAGAGTTAATAACCGTTTCAGATGCAGCTTCAAATGTCTTTAAACGACACCAGACGATGAATAAGGGTCTTATCATGCGAAACGATCGGTTATTTCAAAACTTATTCCAAAAATTTAACTTTTCTAAGGACAAATGCTAGCCTTGCTCTATTTTGTGAGGCGCGTTTGTAACGTCACGTAATACGTAATTACGTTCAAAAGGTCACGGGCGACGTAGCCGTAAGTACAGAGTCAGTGTTTACAAGTTGAACGCATAGGTTGAACGTGCAAACTAACTCAAACGCCGTTTACAAAAAAAGGAATTAAAAGGTAAAACAACGATATCGGACGATTTTGATTCTGTACTTCCGGCTACGTCGCCCGTGACCTTTTGAACGTAATTACGTATGACGTGACGTTACAAACGCGCCTCACAGAATAGAGCAAGGCTAGCATTTGTCCTTAGAAAAGTTACATTTTTGGAATAAGTTTTGAAATAACCGATCGTTTCGCATGATAAGACCCTTATTCATCATCTGGTGTCGTTTAAAGACATTTGAAGCTGCATCTGAAACTGTTATTAACTCTCTTTTCGACCTTGGACTGTCTAGTTCCCATGTAAGTCCATTATATGAAGAAAAATCCTGGAATGTTTTCATCAAAAACCTTAATTTCTTTTCGACTGAGGAAAGAAAGACATGGACATCTTGGATGACATGGGGGTGAGTAAATAATCAGCAAAAGTTTTTTCAAAAGTGAACTAATCCTTTAAACCAGTTATATTACTGAATATTAACTTATAAAACCAATAACAACCCGTTCTCACTCTGGCACAGTTTTAATCATTCCAATTGTTGAATCCATCCATAGTGCTTACATGAATGCTAAATAAATGGTTAATCTGCGCATTTGTATGTCACAAAATTAAAAATCGGATCTTTTGACATGCACACTGCACAAAAATACTGAGTTTCCCACTATTGGCGTGTACTTATCCTCCTATTTGTAACATGAGTGCTCTGTTTCATTGTGTTTCCCTTTGATTTAGTATCTCTGTTTTGTTGATTAGTCATTATTTTCACCTGTTCCCTTTGTTTTCTTCATGTATTTATACCCTGCATTCTCCCTCATTCTCTGTCCGTTCTCGTCTTTCTTTTATTTTTCATTTTTTTACAAAAAAAATACTGAGAAGTAATCAAAATGGTACTTTTCTAACCTTTTATGGTTTTTCTCTGTGTATTGTGTGCATTAGCTGGATACCGTGCGTGTATGAAGTGGTTTCTATCGTGGCCGCTGAGTGTTTTGCTGTATTACACAGTGCCTAACTGTGTTTCGCCACGTTGGCATCGCTGGTTCATGGTCACTTTTTTTGCTTCAACCCTCTGGATTGCTATTTTTTCCTACCTCATGGTGTGGATGGTAAGAAAAAGATACTAACTTTTTTTGTCATATCATTGGTTGGTGTATTATGATGATTGTTATGATTATGCCTTGAAGGTCACCATCATCAGCTACACACTAGATATTCCAGATTACATCATGGGGATAACTTTCCTTGCTGCTGGCACTAGCGTACCCGACTGCATGGCAAGCCTCATTGTTGCACGCCAAGGTTTGTAAACTTTGTATGCACAGAAAACTGTTCATATGCATGCTTGTATTATCTTTAATCTAATTTTTGGAATGACTTTAGCTTTAACAACATTAGTTAACTTACAATGAACAATAGCATTTATTACATTTCTTTGCTAATGTCAATCTTACCATTTATTGCTACATTTGTAAGATCCGAAGTTGTATCTGTTAACATTAGTTAATGCACTGTAAACTAACATGAACCGAAACTTTTTTATTAACAAAGGTTAATAACTTAACAATATATTGCTCATTTTTAGTTCATGTTAGTTAATGCATTAACTATGTTAACAAATTAGACCTTTTTGTAAAGTGTTACCATCCGTCCTTCGGATGAGACGTTAAACCGAGGCCCTGATTCTCTGTGGTCACAAAATATCCCAGGATGTCTTTCGAAAGAGTAGGGGTGTAACCCTGGCCAAATTTTCCTTTTGGCCTCAGTCCATCATGGCCTCCTAATCAACCCCATATATATATATATATATATATATATATATATATATATATATACACCAATTGGCTTCATCTCTCTGTGTCCTCTCCACCAGTAAGCTGGTGTGTGTTGGGCGTTCTGGCACAACATGGCTGCCGTCGCATCATCCAGGTGGATGCTGAGCCCAGAATATGAACACTTCATGCTAAATGGTTGAGCATTTCCTTGATAGTGGTTTTCATAGGAAAAAAGCTTAATACTCCACTTTTTTTTTGGAAATAGGCTCATTTTACCACTCCCCCAGAGTTAAACCGTTGGGTTTTACCATTTTCAGATGTATTCAGCCGATTTTCTGATATTTAGAAGAATATCAGTAACCAGACAGTTTCTGGTCTCATTGACTTGAAAGTCAATGAGACCAGAAACTGTCTGGTTACTGATATTCTTCTAAATATCAGAAAAGCGGCTGAATACATTCGAAAACGGTAAAATTCAACTGTTTAACTCTGGGGGAGTGGTAAACTGAGCCTATTTCCAAAAAAAGTGGAGTATCCCTTTAACGAGAAACTGCGTGTTGTGTTTATATTCTGGGTTCATCAGCGTATGCATAATCAAAACGATGTATACTGAATTTGGTCTTTAATATCAGTCTTACTACAATAGTATTTAGCAGAAACGTAGTAAAAATTACTACCCAGGAATAGAGAAAACGTCTCGGTTAAGTATGTAACCCTCGTTCCCTGAGTAGGGAACGGAGACGTTACGTCAGAAGTGACGGAGATTGGGGGTTTCGCATAGAAAGCCAATCCTCTTCGAGTATTTAGACACGAGCCAATGGCATGCAATGCCTTGGGGCTGCGGAAATTTGCATAGCGTACTCCGCCCTACTCCGTGAGTATAAAAGGAGGAAGTGAACGCAACCGCAGTATGTCTTCGCTGAGGAGCCAAGACTGAACTCGGCATCTACCCAGCGATACAGCAGAAGTGGCAGGGAGACGTAACGTCTCCGTTCCCTACTCAGGGAACGAGGGTTACATACGTAACCGAGACGTTCCCTTTCGTAGTCACTTCGAGTTACGTCAGAAGTGACGGAGATTGGGGGTCTGTGCCATCACGCCATCTTCAAGCTGTCTTCCAGTGCCCTGCGAAAGACTGAACCCCGAGCCTTACCTCTTTTTTTTTTTTTTTTTTTTTGGGGATCCGACTTTGACACAGGATTACCAAGGTACACTGGGAAACATATCCCGAAGGGGACATGCTACCAGCTGCCTACCGAAGGGAGGACTTATGAATACACATATGGCCACATAGGAACGCATATGGAACACTGGAGTACCAACCGCAGGTGGCTACTGATTTAAACTCCAGGGGTGGCAGATGGCTTGCCAAGGGAAGACACATGCTCAGAGAGGCTTACAGTGGATAATACACATGAGACGGTTACCATGGGGAACCGTGCGCATGGAGGCACCTAGCTAGCATCCAGAGCAACGCAGTGGTGCCCGCATCGTCGGTGCTGGAGGACTCAAGACTTCAATGGAAGAACTGAGGAAATATCGCACTTATCCAGTCCGGGGAGTGGAGTGGCGAGCAAGCGAAGACACCTGAGCGGATCCAGAACTGGCCGAAACGAGTACGTGAGAGGATACCGGCTCAATTCGCAGATTATAGAATCTGGCGAAGGTGTTGGGTGTCGCCCAGCCTGCAGCTCTGCAGATGTCTGTTAGCGAGGCGCCGTGCGCTAAAGCCCAAGAGGAGGCTACACTCCGAGTGGAATGGGCCGTCACACCAAGGGGGCACGGAAGGCCTTGCTGCTGGTAAGACAAAGCAATGGCATCCACTATCCAGTGGGACAGCCGTTGCTTTGAGAGAGCCCTTCCCTTCTGGCTCCCTCCATGACAGACAAAGAGCTGGTCTGAGGTCCTGAAACACTGCGTTCTGTCGACATAGGTGCGGAGAGCACGTACCGGACAGAGCAGTGCCAAGGCTGGGTCTGCCTCCTCCGGGGCAGCGCTTGCAGGTTCACCACCTGGTCCCGGAAGGGAGTGGTGGGAACCTTGGGCACATATCCAGGCCGGGGTCTCAGGATCACGTGAGAGTAAGCCGGCCCGAACTCCAGGCACGCTTCGTCAACGGAGAATGCGTGCAGGTCCCCCACCCTCTTGATGGAGGCCAATGCAACCAGGAGTGCTGTCTTCATGGACAGAAACTTTAACTCTACCGATTGCAAAGGCTCAAAGGGATGCCTCTGCAGAGCACTTAAAACTACCGAGAGGTCCCAAGAGGGTACGAGGGGAGGACGAGGCGGATGCAGCCTCCTCGCTCCCCTCAGGAACCTGATGACCAGGTCGTGCTTCCCTAAGGACTTACCTTCCACTGCTTCATGAGAAGCGGCAATGGCCGCGACGTAAACCTTAAGGGTGGAGGGCGACAGCCTGCGCTCCAACCCTTCTTGCAGGAAGGAAAGCACGACACTGATCGAACATCTCCGGGGGTCTTCTCCGCGAGAAGAGCACCAATTGACGAAGAGGTTCCACTTCAACGCATAAAGGTGTCTCGTGGACGACGCTCTTGCGGAAGTGATGGTTGCCGCCACCGCAGGTGGCAGCGAACTCAAACCTGCCTCGTCCCGCCCAGGAGCCACACGTGCAGCCTCCAAAGATCGGGACGAGGGTGCCACAGAGTGCCCCGTCTCTGAGAGAGTAGGTCTTGTCTCAGAGGAATAGGCCAAGGAGGTGCTGTCGCGAGGAGCATGAGATCGGAGAACCACGTCTTGGTGGGCCAGTAGGGGGCTACCAGCAAGACCTGCTCCTCGTCCTCCTTGATCTTGCACAACACCCGTGCAAGGAGGCTCACTGGGGGAAACGCATACTTGCGTGGGCCCCGTGGCCAGCTGTGCGCCAGCGCATCCGAGCCGAGAGTGCCGCGGGTCAGAGAATAAAACTGGGCGCAGTGGGACGAGTCCCGAGAGGCGAACAGGTCTATCTGTGCCTCCCCGAACTCGTCCCAAATCAGCTGGACCGACTGAGGATGGAGTCGCCATTCGCCGGAGAGGGGACGGACCCGGGACAGCTCGTCGGCTGCCCAGTTCCGGTCTCCAGGAATGTAAACTGCACGAAGGGACCTCAGGTGCTTCTGACTCCATATCAAGAGGTGGCGGGCGAGCTGCGACAACTGGCGTGAGCGTAGACCCCCCTGGTGGTTGATGTACGCTACTGCCGTAGTGTTGTCTGAGCGGACAAGCACATGCTGGCCCTTGAGCAACGCTCGGAAGCGGTGCAGGGCGAGCCGTACTGCCAACAGCTCGAGGCAATTGATGTGCATGAGGCGCTGGGCTCCTGTCCAGGAACCGGCGGCTGCATGCCCATTGCACATGGCACCCCAACCCGTGGTAGATGCATCCGTGGAGACGACGAGATGTCTGGAAACTCGCTGAATAGGGACACCTGTCCGTAAAAAGCTGAGGTTCGACCACGGGAAGAAGGTTCGCCGGCCTGCCGGAGTCACTGGGACTCGGAGCGAGCCGCGATGCCATGCCCACCTCGGGACTCGATCGCGAAGCCACAGCTGAAGCGGTCTCATATGAAGCAAACCGAGCGGCGTTGCCGCGGCCGCGGATGCCATATGCCCCAGGAGCCTCTGAAAAAGTTTCAGTGGAACCGCACTCTTGCCCTCGAACTGACGAAGGCAAGCCAGCAGTGAGTGCGCGCGCTCGTTCGTGAGCTGCGCGGACATGGCGACCGAGTCTATCTCCATGCCGAGAAAAGAGATCCTCTGCACGGGGCAAAGTTTGCTCTTTTCCCGGTTGACCCGAAGGCCCAAACGGGCTAGGTGCCGGAGCACCAAGTCTCTGTGTTCGCAAAGCTGAGCTCGAGAGTGTGCTAGTATCAGCCAGTCGTCGAGATAATTCAGGATGCGAACCCCGTGTTCGCGAAGGGGAACAAGGGCTGCCTCGACGATCTTCGTGAAGACGCGAGGGGACAGAGCTAACCCGAATGGGAGAACGGCGTACTGATATGCCTGGCCCTCGAAGGCAAACCGAAGAAACGGTCTGTGTCGAGGTAAGATGGACACATGGAAGTACGCGTCCTTCAGGTCGATCGCTGCAAACCAATCCTGATACCGAACACATTCGAAAATGCGTTTGGCCGTGAGCATCTTGAACGGTAGTCGATGGAGAGAACGGTTCAAAATGCGCAGGTCCAGGATCGGTCGTAACCCACCGGTCTTCTTGGGGACAATGAAGTAGGGGCTGTAAAACCCGGACTCCACCTCGGCTGGAGGGACCGTCTCGATTGCACCCTTCGCCAGCAGGGTCGCAATCTCCGCTCTCAGGAGTGGGGCATTGCCACCAACTATCGTGGAGCGAACTCCCCTGAAGCGGGGAGGAGACCGTGCGAACTGAATCGCGTAGCCGAATCTGATCGTTCTGATGACCCAGCGGGATATCCCGGGAAGCACTAGCCAGGCTTCCAGGAAGTGAGCCAACGGGGTCATGTGAACCACAGACGTCCCCCCGAGGGGCAGCGTGGCGGGTCGACTGGCACCGCGTGCAGGGATGACCCCGCTCGGATGCGTCGAAGCCCGCTCCCCGACGGAAGGGACCAGGGAAAGCGGAGCGTTCCACGGGGGTCCGTTCCGCCGGGGGTCTGGCGACAGAGGGGGAAGGGATTGGCGTAGCCCGGGGACGACACTCGCACCCTTCCGCACCCTCAGAGACAGAGAGGAATGTGTGGGCTGACGCACTGGAACGTCGAGCGCACTCATTCCAGTCTGTGGGCTCAGTGATGATGTCAAGTCTTTCTTAACCAACTCAGGGCGCTGCCCACCCGTGGGCGAGCAGCGGGAACTGAAAACGAAAGATTTTCCCCCCGGCCCTCCACCGGGGGCAGGAGGGGGCCTGCTCCCGCCTCCTGGGGAAAAACTCAACTCCATCACTGAGCAGCCCGTATCAGGATCATCGCTTACCTGGCGTTTAGCGGGGTGTGCGGCCTGAGGGGGCTGTGACGCCTGCCGGCGGCCTCCTCCACGCCGTGGCCCGGATGAAGGCTGCTGCTGGGGCGGGGCGGGAGGCAGGGGAGCCGCGGGGGGGCGTCCTCGGCGGCGAGCAGCGGGAGGCATCTGTGCCGACGACTGGGTGGAGGCAGCAGCTGGTCGTCGGGGCAGAACATGTTTGATTGCCTCCGTCTGCTCCTGGGCAGTGGAGACTGCTGGGCAAGAGTTCTCGACTGCACCGCCAAAAAAGGCCAACCTGGGAGAGAAGGGCGTCGAGCAGACGAATCCGCTCAGCGCTCCGAGTGTCTGCCAGGTTGACGCTCCTGGACCACACTAGTGGCCATCACCTGACCAACGGCGCGAGCGGCCACTTTCGTTGCCCTTTTGGAGAGCAAGGTCAGTGGCGGACCGCAAATCTTCGAATGCCGTTGGATCAGTCCCGCCCTCGAGCATATCTCTGAGCATCTGCGCTTGCACAGTGCTCATCGCATGCAAAGCGGAGGCCGCCCGTCCCGCCGCTCTATAGGAACGCGCCGCCATGGCAGACGAGAACCTACAGGCTTTGGATGGGTGCCTAGGAGGACCACGGAGGAGGCGCTCTGTGGACACAGCTGTATCGCAACAGAACGCTCCAGCGGGGGCATCCCAGTGCACCCACGGGCGGCCCCCCCATCGAGGGGGGAAAGGCGGGGGAGAGATCGCGCTCTCGAGTGGACAGAGGAGTCCCCCAAGAGCGCGATAACTCCGCATGCAGCTCGGGGAAAAAAAGGCAATGGAGTTGGCCGTGGCCTCGCGGCGGCAGCTTTGTCCAAAAACCAATTATCCCTCCGTGAGAGATCGGGGGAGAATGGAGGATGCCACTCTAACCCAATACTCCCAGCGGCTTGAGACAGCATGCCGTCAGCTCGGGATCCGACACGGGCAGCGCTGGCTCTCCCGAAGGGGGCAGTGCAGCCGCATCCTCATCTCCCGAGGACTGTAGCCCGCCTAGTGATGCTGCGATCGACATCACATCATCATCTGGAGCGCTGCTCGAAGCAGCCGGTACCACTGAAGAGGCAGCCGACTGAATCGAACTAACGCTCGCTGGCTCACGCACTGAGGCGGGAGGTGTGGCCCGAGAAATCGTCGGGGCTTTATGCCACACCGTCACCGTTAATTCGCCGGGTCCCCGGTCGACGGGCCCCCTTTCGTGAAGGAAGCCGATCGAGTAAGGGGGACCGGGGCTCTCACTCTAGTGAGATTTTTTTTTTTTTTTTATATATAAAAATATATATTTTATATATAAATATATATATATTTTTTTTTTTTTTTTTTTTAACCTCAGTGTGGAGATGGTCATGTCCCCATAGCAGGAACATGAGTCATCCACGAACGCTGCTGCTGCATGCTGAATGCCCAGGCATACAGAGCAGCGATCGCGACCATCAGATGACGACAGAAATCGACCGCATCCAGAAGAACACGGGCGAACCGTCTTTAAAAAGACGTGCCGCGTGTAGCTCTTTTACAGAGAGGAGGAAATTCACTCTTTCAGCGCTGAGGCGACCAGGGAGAAGCGCAAAGTCTGGCAGACCACTGCACAGATCGCAGGCAATGCAGAAACTCGCTGGGTACCGCCGTCACACCAACACTGAAGAGGACGCTCGTCTCGAAGAGTCTTGTAATAGCTTTCAGGAGTGAAGAGGTTCTCTTGGCTCCGAAGCGAAAACATACTGCGGTTGCGTTCACTTCCTCCTTTTATACTCACGGAGTAGGGCGGAGTACGCTATGCAAATTTCCGCAGCCCCAAGGCATTGCATGCCATTGGCTCGTGTCTAAATACTCGAAGAGGATTGGCTTTCTATGCGAAACCCCCAATCTCCGTCACTTCTGACGTAACTCGAAGTGACTACGAAAGGGAACCCTTGTTTTAGACTCCAGGTGGGCGTTCCTAAAAGAGAGTGACGTCACGTGAGAACCGAGTACACACACACTGTCATGTTCAGTCGTAGGCTGCGTCTGAAATCGCACACTGTTGAGTAGGTACTTATTTTGAATAATTACTTCACGACCACTAAAAAGGTATGTTCTATATGGTATTAATGTGTCTGGAAGTACTACATTTGCCATGTACAAACAGTTATCTATCCCATAAACCTACAGAAAACTTCCTGCATTTTTACATTTTCAAAAAGCATCACATAGTATGATTTAATGCTGAAGTGTTCCTTCTGGGAACCAAAAATGTCCCCACACGAACAAGGATTTTAGATCTCTGTGGGGACAATTTGTCCCTATAACATAGAATTTACTAGGACCACACAATCACAATTACTTGTAAAATGTACTAAAATGATGTTGTATTATGTGTCTCAGGAATGGGGGACATGGCAGTGTCTAACTCCATTGGCAGCAATATCTTTGACATCCTGCTGGGACTGGGCTTCCCCTGGGCTCTAAGAACTCTAGTAGTAGACCATGGATCAACAGTGAGCATTTTACGTATTCTAAAACCGATGTGAATGCCTTCCCATTTGATGCTTTCATCTGATTGGTCTGTGTCTTTTGTCAGGTATTCATCAATAATAAAGGCCTGGTGTATTCTGTTATCCTGCTGCTCGCATCAGTCTTCCTCACTGTGAGCAACCCAGAACCACAACATACAACCCCTACACCAGACACTCTCAGCCATATTTGGTTTTCATATTAATTACTTAATTTTGAGAAAAAAAAAAAAAATTGGTAACATTTTAGTTTAGGGTCCAAATCTCACTATTAACTAGTTGCTTATTAGCATGCACATTTCTAGGATATTGGCTGTTTATTAGTACATTAAGCACATACTGTATATTAATGTTCTGCATGACCATATTCTTCATCCCTTAATCCTAACCCATACCTACATTTTACCGCTACCTCACTAACTATTAATAAAAGCAGAGGCAAAAGTTACAGTTAATAATGAGAACTGGACCCTAATCTGAAGTGTGACCAATATTCTTAACAAAAGTCCTCAAAAAAGTTTTATATAACAATTCAGGGTTTTTTTTCTCTCTCATAATTGTGAGATATAAACTCGAAATTACCTTTTTTATTCTTTACATTTTTTTTATTTCCCTCTGGGGATGAAAACTGAATCAGAAAGTGTGATATTAAAAGCATAGGCAGTAAAATCCCCCTAATCACACACTGACTAGCGCACATACTCAATGCTAGTAGTGTCTGTGTTAACTGTGTCATGTGTCTTGTAGGTCCTGAGTGTGCATCTGAATGGCTGGAAGCTGGATCGGAAACTAGGTCTTGGTCTCTTGCTCCTTTACTCCGTTTTTTTGCTCTGCTCTATCCTCTTTGGTCAGCTCTAGAGGCTTCACACAAGTTTATATCCTGCAAATCTGACTTTTTTTTTGTTTTGTTTTTTGCATTGTTGTTTTGAGTTGAATTTGATAGTGCTTTTACTGATCAGGTACTAAATGTCAGTTGATTTCATGCCTGCATCTGATGTAGCAGCAAACGGAAATGATGTACTTTACAGAATGGGTTTTAAACAGAAATGACAGTGCTCATATCCAATCAGTCCTCTGATCTGTCCATTAAGCACTGCTTCAAGCTGGAAGATATACTGTATAATATAATGGTTTTATCTTCACTCTGACATCTTACAAGAACATTGCAGTATTACAATAAGTCACTGTTGCTGCTTATAACTTCAGTATGTTCTCGTTGCTGTGTTAAACCCTTGTGAAAAAGAAGTACACTTTAGCATACTTATAAAAAGAGTATTTATTATGGAAAAAATATAGTGGATGTCATGTCTTCAGACACTTAATCGCAGGTTAATTACAATTAAATACAATTTTATAATAATTTAAATGTATATTTAATGCGATAGGTTGAACTTTACACCCACTTCAGTGTGACTTAAGTATATCTTTATTTGTAATTTCGTAGTTACTTCTATTGTCTTTGAAATATGGTTAGTGAACTGGCTAATGCACTGATAAATATTTATGGTAAAGTAAAATATACTTTAATGTAATTTCTGTTGAAACTTTTGATTTGTAATTACACATTTGTAAAGATGAAGTTGCAATTCAGTACATTTAAAATATATTAACTTAAGTTGTAATATCTAAAGTACTTTGCATGTGCATTAATATGTTAGTCAACACATCAAAATAAGTGTACTTTAAAGCATGGCAAAATATTATAATTAAACAATAATACATACTTCAATGTAAAACTTTTAATTCGACTATTACAAAGTACACTTTTTAAAACTGTACTTAGTCAAGTGTCATGACTATGTTTCATAACACAATTATGAAATTGTGTCTACTTTGATATAAAGGGAAAATTTAAAACTTTAAAGTCCACTTAAGTTCAATTCAATAATGATTTTTTTTTTCTGCAAGTACAGTTTTAAAAATAAATAAATATTAAGATTTGTGCACATTCAAAACAATTAAGCGCACTTCTTTTTCATGAGGGAAGTCCTGTTGCTGTGTTAATTTATACAACAGGTCAGTTAGTCCTCAAATTCGATTGGCTGAGCTTCATTCCAAGAGTATAAATAGAGAGTATAACAGCACTGGGATGTTTCACACACTCTGTGTTCAGAGCTTTTCAATTTATGTATACTGTCTCTCTCACTATTGAGGTGTAAACTCATAGTGGAGCTCGACCCGAGTGGAAATGGCTGTTTTTCAGTGTTACTGATATACACTATTCCAGTATTCCAGTCTGTTTGTTAACTGGTGACATCCAGACCTTGATGCTTTGGCTTCTTCTGGAAATACATTTGAGGTTGTATGTTTACACCTTGCAGAATCTAAAAAAGTCAATTAAAAAATAAAATAGGATCATAAAGTAATCTGAAATTGGTCCACAAGACAACCCCCTGCCAAATTACTTTTTGATTTATTTGACATTAATGAAAATTTTCAAAAGTTTACACACCCTTGAATCCTAATACTGTGTGCTGTGTCCTACTAATCCATGTTTATTTTTTTAATGTTTTTATTCAGCTATTATTTTGTCTTGTGGACTATAAATACAAGACAAAATGCAGTTGGTATTCATTTTGCAGGATTTGCAAGGTGCTTGTAAACGTATGAGCACAACAGTATTTCTATACAAGTCTAAATAAGACTTTATGAATACATTTTTTTGGTAAAACAGTTGCAAAAAAGCCAAATCTCAAATCACAACCCATTCTCGCAGTTGTGCTGTATTGAGATGTAGATAATCACAGGGTTGTTAATTCAGAACAACATACTGTAGGCTACTACATGACAGCATTGTTTTTTAGGAATATATAATGATCAAGCATGCATGCGTCTATACAGTGTTGGGTTTGTAACTTCTGAAATAATTTAGCACTGATTACAAATTAAATGCCTAAAAATGTAATCAATAACTGTCTTTTAGATAACAAGTTTTAACTATTATAATGTAATTGCTTTTGTAGGGATTTTGAGCTAACTCTTATTTATTTCCACAATACTGCCGCGTTGTTCTGACAAAAACACAAAAAAGACCAAAAAGGAACATTTTCCTTAAACTACTGCACACCTTTGTAATCAACACAAACAGCCTTAATTGTTTCTGCAATTATTGCATGTTTTGAATAATAATTAAAAATAATCGCTAATTTGTGATATAAAGGGATATTTCACCTGAAAATTTTAATCATGTCATCATTTACTGACCATTTTGTTCCAAACCTGTATGACTATCTTCAGTGGAACATACTGTGGGGCCAAAATGTATTTAGTCAGCCACTGATTGTGCAAGTTCTCCTACTTAGAATAATGAGAGAGGTCATTTTCATCATAGGTACACTTTAACCATGAGAGACAAAATGAGAAAAAAAAAATCCAGGAAATCACATTGTAGGATTTTTAAAGAATTTATTTGTAAATTATGGTGGAAAATAAGTATTTGGTCAATAACAAAAGATCAACTCAATACTTTGTAACATAACCTTTGTTAGCAATGACAGAGGTCAAACGTTTCCTGTAAGTCTCCACCAGATTTGCACACACTTTTGCTGGTATTTTGGCCCATTCCTCCATTGCAGATCTCCTCTAGAGCAGTGATGTTTCGGGGCTGTCGCTGGGCAACACGGACTCCACAAATTTTCTATGGGGTTGAGGTCTGGACATTGGCTAGGCCACTCCAGGACATTGAAATGCTTTTTACGGAGCCACTCCTTCGTTACCCGGGCAGTGTGTTTGGGATCATTGTCATGCATCATGATTTCGTCTTCAAGACTCTCACTGATGGAAGGAGCTTTTGGCTTTAAATCCACGATACATGGCCCCGTTAATTCTCAATATGGATCAGTTTTTTCTGTCCCCTTTTCAGAAAAACAGCCCCAAAGCTTGATGTTTCCTCCCACATGCTTCACAGTAGGTATGGTGATCTTGGGATGCAACTCTGCATTCTTCTTCCTCCAAACACGACGAGTTGAGTTTTTACCAAAAAGTTCTATTTTGGTTTCATCTGACCACATGATATTCTCCCAATCCTCTTCTGGATCATACATATCCGTCTTCAGACAGGCCTGGACATGTACTGGCTTAAGCAGGGGGACACGCCTGGCACTGCAGGATTTGAGTCCCTCTCGGTGTAGTGTGTTACTTATGGTAGCCTTTGTTACTTTGGTCCAAGCTCTCTGCTGGTCATTCATCAGGTCCCTTCGCGTAGTTCTGGGATTTTTGCTCACCGTTCTCATGATCATTTTGACCTCACAGGATGAGATTTCCATTACACGAGAGTAGATGTTAAAACTTCATGCTGATTTATACTTGGCTTTCGCCAAGGTAAGCTAAGACATAGCTTTACAGTAAACTATACTTCTCCATCCATTTACGCTTTTTTCCATATGGTGGTGTGACTCCCCTTGTGTCCGGCGTTAACGGCTGCAGTGTACTTGCCGTGTCAGCACACACGACGGCTGCAACTACAGTGTGGTCTCCCTAATGGACCACCACGACAACCGTCTGGATTGAGCCGAGTAGGGGACATCTCTAGGGTCTTCAAGTGGGCACCTTCCGTCCTCAGTGTTTCGTCGACTAGCCCACGACACCTCAAGAGGGATTGACAGTGACTGGCGTCCCAGAGTCACCCCCCTCCGTCCCCCACTCAACTCACCCCAGCTTACTGACCTCTACAGAGACCTAACCACAATCTTGAGCAACCCAACCATACGCGCCAACCCGTTTGATAAAGGCTGTCGAGCCCCACTGGTGCGTTATAAAGCAGTTTCAGTGGCAAACGGTTCCGAATGGCATACCACCTACCGCAAACCACAATATCTGGCCAACCACCATCATTCAAACAATATACACAGGAATGTAATGACTGTAATTTCAATGCAACCTATACAAAAAGACTCAAGAATTCTACGAAACCGTAGCATGGCGGCCTGTCCATAGCCAGCTAGAATCTTTCCGTGTCAACCACAGCCAGTTGCTGCTCCTTTCTGCTGCTTCAGATAAGTTCTTTACTGTGCGACGCAACTCTTGGCCACTGAATCCGACGTCTCTGAGGAACCGGGTTGTAGAGTGTGCCACAAAACCTCGACAACCCACTTCCACTGGATAAACTTGGACTCTCCATCCTCTCTGCTCTGCCTCAGTTGCCAGATCAGCATACCGCAATTTCTTCCTCTCATATGCCTCATCTACCGCATCCTCCCATGGCACTGTTAGCTCTATCAGCTGAACAATGCGTGCTGATCCAGACCACAAAACAATATCTGGTCGTAAATTAGTGGTAGCAATCTCAGGTGGAAAAATAAGCCGTTGACCAAGATCAGCCAGCATCTTCCAGTCCCTCGCAGTTTCCAGTTGTCCTGGGTGTCCATTGGTGTTAACACCTTTTCTTGGTGGTTGCTCGCCTGGGCGGAGGAATATTGTCTTTTGCGTGTAATGTTTTGCAGGCGGCAACTTATTGGTCATACTATGCTTGCCCTCCAATGCTAAAGCCAAACATCGCAGTACTTGGTCATGGTGCCAAGTAAACCGACCTTGTCTAAGAACCGCCTTACATCCTGTCAGAATGTGCCTTAATGGGGCAGGTGATGAACACAATGGACAAGAGGGATCCTCTCCAACCCAGAGGTTTAGGTTCTGCGGTGATGGGAGGACATCATATGTTGACCTTATAAGGAAACTGATCCTACTCTCTTCCATTAACCAAAGGTCTTGCCAGCCCAACTTGCGTTGTTCCACACTCTCCCATCTCATCCACTCTCCCTGCTTGGCATGGGAAATGGCCTTTACACACCTCATCCTCTCCTCCTGCTTTCGCACCTCGTTGACTACCAGCTTCCTTCTTTGAGCTGGGCCTGCCTTGTGCCATTTAGGAGGAGCTACACCAAGCCCAAAACCCCCTCTTCCATGCTGTACCTGTCCCACAATATCCCCAAATTGAAGGGCAGCTTTTGCCTCTACTACAGATTTCTTTGCTGACCACTTCCTACCAGTTTTTAACACAGGGGCTGCCTCCCTTACACATTTGTCACATGACTCTACTAAGGTCATTTCCAGCCTGACCTTGGCACACTTAAACTCTTTGGTTAAAGCAGAGACTGGCAGCTGCAATATTCCTTTTCTATAAAGTCCCACTCTGCTGAGGCAGCGTGGAACTCCCAACCATATCCTGATGTATGAACTTATTAACGCTTCCAGCTTATCCACTGTTGTCAAAGAAACCTCGTACACAGTCAATGGCCACAGAAACCTCGGCAGCAGACCAAACTGAAAGCACCAGAGTTTTAGTTTGCCTGGTAGAGCACAGCTGTTTATGCTCTTCAACCCTTCCACTGCTTGCCGTCTAACTTCTCCCACTCGAACTGTGTCCCTTAGATCCCCATCGTACCATCTCCCAAGACTCTTCACTGGCTTCTCAGAAACTGTTGGTATTGCCTCACTATTAATGAAGAATGTTCTATCTACTACCTTTCCTTTAACTATCGAGATACTCCTTGATTTAGAGGGCTTAAATTGCATTCGTGCCCATTCAATATTATCTGTTAACTTCCCCAATAAGATCTTGCGTGGAGCCCCAGATTGAGGGAGATTATCAGTGTTCTTGTATGTCTTCCATTTTCTTACAGTTGCTCCCACAGTTGATTTTTTCACACCAAACTGCTTGCCTATTGTACTGTAGATTCACTCTTCCCAGCCTGGTGGAGGTCTACAATTTTCTTCCTGGTGTCCTTCGATAGCTCTCTGGTCTTGGCCATTGTTGAGTTTGGAGTGTGATGCTGCGTCCCAATTCACTTACTTATACTACGCCCTAAAAGTATGTACTCTTTTTGTGAGGAAAAAGTACATACTTTTGAGTGTGGAGCAAAAGAGTAGGCAAGCTTTGGGACATACTATCACGTCATCTTTAACGGACAGCTCTGTCGTGTGCTGCGTGCATCCTGTCACCATAAACTGCCCTGTCAATCATCTTGTCACAGTTAAAATCCTCCATTCTATCTAATTTTATTTCCTACCGTTTCGGAGAGCACGTTCATCTGTCAGTTGTGGGTCTTTCATGCTCTCCTCGTGTTTTCAATTTGAATATAATGATGCATTTAAAACGTAATGGCTAAACGTGTCTTTACAAAAGTTCACAATGCTGCTGCAAATGCAATATAATGTGGACAACATTGAATAAATTCATTTTCGTCGGGTTAGATACTGATAATTAATCACTCAAAGCTCTTTATTTAAACCTCTCTACACAGCTGCGGGACTCGCGCGTCCTCCGTATCGACTACGTGTCTGTAGTTTTTAACACTTTTTACTCGTGTTTGTAGTTTGACCAAATCCTCATCCAACGCGCAATGGTTTGTGGGCAATATCAGCCGTTAGAGTGTGCATCGATCTACACTTCGGATTCTGACCGGAAAAAGTAGACCATCCGGGTATCGTTGAAACACTCATTTCAACATACTACGATTTGGGACGTACTAATTCTATTTTCGAATACTATTTCGGACGGATAGTATGCGAATTGGGACGCAGCATGACTGTTTGAGGCTGTGCACAGGTGTCTTTTATACAGATAACGGGTTCAAACAGGTGCCAATAATACAGGTAATGAGTGGAGGACAGAAGAGCTTCTTAAAGAAGAACTTACAGGTCTGTGAGTGCCAAATCTTGCTGGTTTGTGGGTAAACAAATACTTATTTTCCATCATAATTTACAAATAAATTCTTTAAAAATCCTACAATGTGATTTCCTGGATTTTTTTTCTCATTTTGTTTCTCAAAGTGTACCTTTGATGAAAATTACAGACCTCTCTCATTATTCTAACTTGCACAATCAGTGGCTGACTAAATACTTTTTGGCCAAACCCTGTAAGATAGTTCACCCAAAGATGAAAATTCTATCACAAAAGAAGTTTTTTTGAGGAATGGAACAGTTGAATGGCGGAAAAAGATGCATTACTCTAAATATTTTCTTTTAAGTATCATTTAACTTCACTTTCATTACACAGTAGTAAATATTAGTAGTAGTATAAACGTTCACTATTACTTTTGCTATTGATAAACATCTTTTGTAAATCAAGCACACGTCACATAAAGATCAACCACAGCCTCTGGCTCACTAGTATACAATTTAATTAACTAATTTATTGCTGTTGACTGATATAATATAATCAATATGTCAGCATGAAAAGTAACTCTACGTGTTTGTTTCTTTTTAAAAAGTAATGTATACTCTAATTACAAGTACTTGTTTTTTGTAATTGGATTATGTTATAGCACTTG